GGAAAACATCGTAAGTTGATGCCGACAGCTTTGGAACGATGTATCTGGGGGAACGGTGACGGCTCGACAATGCCGGTGTGCGATTTTTTTCCTTCTTAGTTTTTTTTAGTTTATTTTGAAACTGCCCTTCCTAAAACTGTTTTTTCATTATATCTGACCTTCTTTTGATCGTATTTTCCTCTTTTTTCAAGTATAATTCAAATTAAAATTCCCTACCAACGGTTTTCCGCCTCATCGTGACTGGAAGATGTTCCTGGGTGTCGGGCTTGGATGTAGAGCGGAGGGAATCATCTACCCAGCAAGGTCTCCCAAGCTGAGAAAGAGTCCGGCGTTTCCATAAGGAAGCCCAACTAAGAGTAAACGAATACGAGGATCTACCACCGATCCTGGTATCAAACTAGTAGCATGGTGGCAAATCTTTCTGTGATCCACAAGGGCGGCGACTGCCTGTGGTGGTGACGGACGACCACGGGCAAACCTTGGCCAAACTGACCTCGGGACTTCAGAGAACCACAATGGCTGAGCCAGAAAATCTGGAGAATGGAAATCATGCTGGTGCCCGCATAACTAATGAGGATGGGCTGTCCAAGTTTCCAAGTAAGTATAATTCAAATTCAGGTTAGAATATGATGCTGGAAAATTATTAATTTATAAAGTGCGCATAAAATCGTAGTAAATTCCTTGCAAATCTTTTTTCACAATGTTTTTGATCACTAAAATGTTATTTTCTTGATTCGATGCGGAAACTAAGTTCGAACGAGAATTGTACAATTTCATATATGGAGTTTCAGTGAACACCATCTCACTACCTTGACCACTGCGTGTCCAATAAGTCCCGCCATTTCAATCCATGTGATCGAAATTCCAGGTATTCAGCACAGCTGTCGGTAAAATCGGTGCTGCAATTTGCTGGGAAAACTACATGCCAATGTACCGTATGACTTTGTACAACAAAAGTACGTATTTTTCTCACCTCTTGTTTTCATTCCAGATTTCGATTATCTTTCGCAACTTCTAGTATGATAGCGAAAGGGAATTGCTTTATTTCTATAAGATTTTTTTCGTTGAAACAATAAAGTGTGTGCTATACACTGGTTACTCAGGTACTTCGATGACCCGCCTTCGCTGGTTGGGTTGTGCGGGCCTCAGAATGATTTCCATTCTCTGGAGATCTACCGGTTTAGCCACTGTGGTACCCTAGAAACCCGAGGACAGCCTGGTCAAAGTGTGCCCCAGTTCGTCACCACCACTGACAGTTGCAGTCCTTGTAGATCAGAGGAAGATTTGTTTGCCACCATGCGACTTTGATACCAGGATGGTGGTGGATCTTGGTACTGGCTTACACTTAGCTGGGCTTGCTAATGTAATCGTCGGAATCATTCTCGGCTTGGGAGACCATGCCGGAGAGATGAATCCTCCCGCTGTACATCGCAGCCTAACACCCAGAAACACTTCCCAGCTACGACGAGGCGGTAAGCTGTTGGAAGGGGTTTCTCTACTCATGTAGCATAGAAAACTTGTAAGAAAAACTTCCTCTGACTGAAAAATTGGTAATACATAACGTTAATGTTTCATTGGCAGCTTTATATAACTGCTGGTTGTTTATGTGCTCATTCATGTCTTCCTTGTGCGGTTCAATGTTGGAACTGGTTTTTTACGCCAGAGATCGCTTTGTAGATGATACTAGTTAACGACTCAATATGGGTGCCAAAAAGATCGATCACACTTCAGCGTTATTTATCGGAGGTCAGGTTACAGGAGATGAACATTCCTTACAAGCATCTGTGTTGCTGAACATTAAAACAATAATACTGTGATATTTGCAAAACTTGGACCCCAGGCCAGGTCGAACCGCGATTACCTTTTCGACTTCAAACCGACTGAATAGTACCGTAACGTGAATATTTGGAGTATGCAGTAAATAAAAACTTAACGTTGTGATTTCGACTGCAGCCTCAGTTTAACTGGGTTCAATGCAGATTTGGGCTCCCAGATCAGTCCCATCGACGGGTCATTGCAGATAGCACCGTTAGCTAGAAAACTAACTGAGGGAAAGGCAAAACAAGAATCTCAGTGGTGCTATGTGTAAAAGGTGAAACCCCGGAAATGGTAATCGCGGTTCGACCTGGCATGGGTACCAAGTTTTGCTAATAGCTCAACATCATTGTGTTTGCATTTCACGTAATCAGTGAAAAAAATTCTAGTCTGCAGTAAATAAAAACTTAACATTGAAACACTAATTTAGACGTTGAACTATATCTTGCCTGTACTGTCGATGATCGTGAGACATGGCTGCCGACAATGAGAACAATTGCTCTCGAAGGCAGGTGAGTCGTATCTTGCACAGTGCTTGAGAACGGGATGTTTTATTGTTTGTTAACCCCATCAGTACTGTAGATATTTGTTAGCTTTAACGAATTATTTTGGTAAAATTTTTTTTTCTCAATAAATTGTTTCTTTTAAGATGCTTTGTCATTTCGTCTGCTCAATTTCTTACGTCTGCAGCGTATCCGGAAGGGCATCCAATGCGCTTGAAACATGGAAAGGAAAAAGTTGGTCAAACTGATCACTGGATTAATGATTTCATCGATGGTGGTATAGAATGAACGACTTCTTCAGATACTGATTCGCGGCGGCTCATGCGCCATTGATCCCCTAGGTGTTGTTCTGGTGGAGCCAGATTTCACAAAGGAGCTCATACAGTATGCTGTATATTATTTGGTTGTCTTACAAGAATCAATCGATAAGTTGACTGCATTGAAAAGGGCTCTTTTTGCCTTGGAAAAAGATTAAGAATAACGAATTCATTGTCAAAGCACGAACAAGGGTTACAAGTATCGCAGTAGACTGTTTTGGAAGATGGCATTTTTCAGCTACGTTGATGTCGACCTTTCACGTATTGCATGTGCTAAGATGGATATGGATACGGTAGGACACTACAGCCGACCTGAAGTCTTCCAGCTCGTCGTAAATGAGAAACCGTACGCACCAGTGGTTCGACAATGAAGGTTCTCCACTTCCAGATGACGTTAATAACTGCTCTATTTTCTCATTATATGCGAGAATTGCCTGGTAGACCATACTAGAGGTGCACAGAGCGTTACGCTTTTCATATAAGGCCTTTTATATGTACCTTTTTTGCTAAGAGAGTAACCATGGGTGGCTTGACGCGCTATCCCAAAGTAGACATCGTATTTATTTTTTAGATACGACCACAGACGATATCCGTGCTGGCATTTCCAATCAACATTATGTAATCATTTTCCATTTGTTTTTTTCCGTCGGACCGAGTAGGATACAGTCTGTATCCACGCCTATGCGGAGCGTAGAAGTCAATCTGGTAGATGAGAGACAAGTGGACCGTTGCTATTAGTATAATTATCGTTATTACTGTCATCATTGTTGTTATCATTGGATAAGTCGGTCACGGTCGTTTTTGCTTAGCATTTTGCACCCTGTTTGCCACCTGAAACGCTCTACGTAGACTTAAGTCGATATCCTTCCTTTATATAAGGGAGATTCTCTGGTTTTAAAAGCACCACATATAATCTCCAGTACTTCGAAATTTCACATTCCATGTGAACAGAGTATAAATGTTGGCAGAGTTTTATTGGCACATATGGGTGAGAACACTCGACACCAATGTATCATAAAATTATTTGAACATTCTTTGCATTTAAAATAATCACAAATTTCGTTCGTTACTATCTGTACAGTGCTATCGACTCGTCTCGAATCGATACGCCTCACTGACTGGGGTGAGAGAAGATTGATGAAGCGCTAGAAATAGTTCTGCAGCAGCGGCATCTGAAGGCGACAGGGATGTCTGCATAAATTCTGCTAGATTTTGAAAATCCTAGAGGGTGTGATTTCAATAGCGCAAATCTTGATGTTCTCTTTTCTTTTTGCCAGCAATCGAAAACTTGGCATGAATAAAATCAAAGCTAGCGAAAATACAATCTAGGTTGACAGAAAGCGGTAGGTTTCGCAATGTACGGCAGTAATGGTGCACAACGACGGTCATTTTAAAGAAATATAGACGATAAAATGAGAGACAATAAAAAGCAGCTTAGAGGCCTAGAATGGACGATGCATTAATAGTTGCGCTGCCATGTTGCCATCGATGGTATGTAGAGGTACGGACGATAGCTGCTGAAATGACGAAGGCCACTGCTGCCGTAATAGGACCAGTTAGATGGAGTGGGACTGAAAAAATCTGCTAAATTATAGTGTGGATAAAAAATAGTTGTATGAAAATTGGCGAAGGTGGAAGATGTTTGTCATAATACTTGGTCGTAAGGGCCGTATAAATGGCCGTATAACTATAACACGAACAAATCGGTATCGGCATATGTGTTTTTGCTTATTCGTCGTTCCTGCGTGAGGCTAGTTAGGCACCCCATTCATTCAGTGTATGCAGACTTGTCCCAGACTGGTCTACGAAAAGTTCTTTCTGATCCAAAAAGCCTGGTGACTACCTATGGCTAAAAATTGTGCCGCTGTAGTAGAGCTATACCAGGATTTCAGAGAAGATCGGTTCACTCGGCATTCATTTGTAAACATGATACTGCAACTACTGCATCTATGAATACTTACTTGGATACTTGGATTTTTTGTCCTCACTGGTTGTGCTGGCTCCAGCATATTCTCTATTTTTGGCAGTTTTGCTACTTTAGCTATTGTGGTTCCCTGGACTCCTAAGGTCAGCCAGGCCAAAGGATGCCCGAGGTGGTCACTACCAGAAGCAGTCACCGCCTTCATGGATCAGATGAAGATCTGCCACCATGCGACTGGTTCGGTTGTACTCTTAGCTGGGTTTCCTGATGGAAACACTGGACTGCTTCTCAGCCAGGGGAATGAATCTCCCCGGTGTACATCGCAGCCCGGCATCCAGGAACACCTCCCAGCCACGATTAGGCGGTAAACTGTTGGGAGGTATATGTATCCCTATATATGAATGCAAGTCATATAAAATAGAAAACTTCTTCGTCTTGGTTGTAAACAAATATAAATACATCCAGATATTTCCGCAGAGCTCAGGATTTTCTGTGCGCAGAGATCTTTATTTATTACTGTGGTTATTCAAATAAAAATGAGTATTTGTGATATTTGTCCTAGTGAAATGTTTTGTTGAAAACTATGATTCATAATAATATTGGATGCCATTCATTTTAAAGCACAGAATTCGACTTATGTTTGTTTGTCAGTGTTTTTCTTTCTGTCACCAGCCCATATTAGAGACATTTGGTTGCAGAACTGTTGAGAAGAAAAGATGAAAATGGAGTCGTTACCAAGTTTTCTTGTAATGAGTCGGAGTCAATCAGCTTCCGTGAACGTTAGCATTAACATCTTAAGACTTTGACCGAAGAAAATTCGCCATAGGTTATTCCAGAGCTTATGGACGAATTATCAGTGGGTGAAACGGCAGTTTTGGGTCCTCTTAACAGAGTTATAAAGCCCCAAAAAAATTCGTGAAAGCTATGTCAAGAGGTAGTAGTTATGAAGTCTGTTAACCCTTCTTCTGCCCGCAACAATAGCCCTTTTTCCGCAGAATAATGATATATAAGAGGCGGACGCCTGACGCCCGTAATGACGAGCATTGTGTTAGTTCGTTTCCGCTCCTGGCCAACCAAGCCTCTCATACCTCCGGGTTCGGGAAATTGGTACTGGACTTGTCTGGGAAAAAATCACTCTCTGCGATCCAAATGGGAACGCTGCAGCCCGGCTATCTCGGGACTGCAAGGAGAATTGCTCGACCATTATTCTACGACATTCAAGGCAAAATGAAAATCCTTAAGTAGCAACTGAAGCCATACGTGAAGTTGTAAGATCTTTATGGACAATGGATGCAAGGAAACGAACTGAATATGAGAACTGCTGGGATCCGCACAGTATACCTGAAGACGGGTCAAATAAAATAAAAAATAAATAAATAAAATGGCATAGCGGTAGAAATAGATTTTAACTCTTTTATTTACTGCCTTTTTCTTCTTGATGGCAGGATAAAAGTCGATAACTTTAAAGCGAAGGACCCGGATGGTGTAGTGGTGAAGTGCGCTGCTCCCCGTTAAGGACAACAGCGCGTGTTCGTTCTCCATTGCATACACCTGTGGACCGGAGTTTCGCAAATATCTCAGCATTTCATACGAAATAGATTTTCTACTACGGCACATAATGTTTTTTTTTGTTTTCCTTAAGATGTTGAAGCATCGAGAGTCTTCAAAGCGAAATGTACAACAGTACGAAGCTTTGATGATGACGATAGTCACCTAAGCGACTTCGTTTTAAATGATTTGTTCTTGATGAAAGAAACCATTACACCTAGCAAATGTTACCAGGAAGTATACTAATGTCCTATTAACAGAAACCTATCTCCAAAGTCATGGAGTGCTTGTACAACCAATGTTGTAAAACCAAACGAATTAGATTCAGAAGCGTTGTTTCGTCTAAAATAAAATAAAATATTCGCCACTAACCACCACTTCTCAAGTACGCCAACAGCCACTTTTTGATGGAATCTAAAGCAACGAAAGCGCTAGTGAAAACGCTTACAGAAGATTTCTAGTTCTAGAAAGTCCAACATGTGGAAGGTTATAATAAAAAGGATAGAATTTAAAGCAGTCGGCGTTGATCAATCCCGGGGGGTGCGCCACGCATTCGACTTCCTTAAGCATCGTTTAAAGGTGATTGAATGCATATCTGGCCCTTACAATAACTTGTGGTGGCCTACCGATGTATCGAGTCAATGCTGCTACCTCCCAATCAAGTCTGGTACCAATTTGCCGACACTGGAGGGTTGAAAGGCTTGGTGGGCCATGCGCGTGAGGAACGCCTCCACATGTGCGACGCAGTGGCGCCTCCAACCAAGTGTTATAGTGTTATAGTGGAAGGTTATAAACCGGAATTATTCTCTATACTTTGCAATATTCAAAAAGAAAAAGTGGTCAGATACATTGGCATACTAACTTTGAAGCGAAGTACATTCGATTGTACATGTTGGTCTTCAGGCTTCTTGGTCGACTCGCTATATCGTAATTGGTTTCACTAGCCAAATAAGTATAGCCCGAATACCTAAATAATTCGCTATTTGTAGCATACTATAACCTAGTTATCGATTATTAATGTTTAAGAAAGAATCGATTCACCAAAAAAGAAACACAACAGTCTCTAGTGAACACAGTGATGACACAGACAGATAACAATGTGCATATGATGGGCTATGTATTGATTTATTGATTTTCGTTGGAGGATACAAAGATGTCCTTCACAAGTTTTTCGATTGTTTTTAAAGAATTTTACACGTAGTTCAAATACAAAGCCTAATGCATTTAGAGGGGTCTTTCGAACAGAAAAGTGCTAAAAAACAACCTAGAAAGGATTGGTTGCCTAAATCTTAAATAATTTGTTTAGATTTTTTTGAAAAGAGTGTAGCTTCTCAATGGCTTCACATTACTTTTCCCATAATGATATAAAGAAAGTCACGGATAGAGTTTATGACATTTTTAACTCATAGAAGCTTCCATGGTCTGTTCCGTTATGTTTGGCGTAACTAGCATAGGAATTACCATGCCAAGCGACAGACGAAGCCCTCATCACAACGTTTTCTGTAAGGAACCAAAAGCTAGGTGACAGTGTTGATGCGCACCTTTTTATCTCGTTATGCCAGAAATTTGCTGTTGTTTCTCAAGGTGTTCCGCTACCGTCTAAGAATGAATCTGATGGAAAATATGCTTTTCACAGATTTTATGTTGATGTGATATAGAACGGTCCTTATCAGAGAGCTAGCATATCAAATGGAAGTGCCGACTTACCCGCGTCGTGTGGTGATCGGCCGACTTTCAGGTGTTAGTTGTGGTGGTGTGTAGAGTGAAGTGGTAGCATACATTCGGTTGAATGTCTTATAAGAATATGGTCGTCGATGGTCCTGATCCCGTCCATAGATATACCTGTAAGTACACACAAAGTCGACAATAAGAAATTAGAGTACGATCAATAGGTTGATTGTCGCATATGGCTGAAGTCATGCTTGTTAACGACCAACGTACATCGGGCTACTCATTTTAGCAGCAAACTCCACCATTAAACTCACACATAAGAACGAATCCTAATTACATGGCTTGTCGTTTATGTTATCTGTATTTTCCTTAGGTAAAGAGCAAAGGATAAATCGCTGGTAACATTCGCCTCTGATGGATTCACAATTCATCCGACTCATTCGTAGCATTGTCAAGGTGATCAAATGCATATTGGAACCATACAATGACTTAGGGTAGTCTATCAATGCAGCAACTCATTGTTAACATCATCCCAGACACATCTGGTATAAATTTACTAATCTCAGTGGCATCGAAGGCTTGATGAGCATGGGAAGGAATCAAACCATCGACCGATCCAGAGTACCTTTCAGGGCATGTCTAACTAGTGTACTATACACGCCCCTGTAACCTATAGATAAGGATAAAGCATGGAGCACTCGGCGTCGATCAATCCAAGAGGCATGCACCATGCACTCTACTTTATTAAGCATTATTTGGAGATGATTGAATGCATATCTGGCCTTTATAATAACTCGCGGTGGCCTACCGATGTATCGAGTCAGTGCTGCTATCCTCCCAAACAAGTCTGGTATCAATTGGCTGACTCCGGAGAGATGGAAGGCTTGGTGGGCCAAGGGCGCTGGGATCATTTCTACGTGTGTGTTGCAGGGCTCCTCCATCCGTTTTTTCTTCAACCAGAGCTAATTAATGGAGCTTGCTAGCTCAGGGAAACACGAAGAGCACCATACTTTTGGTATGTGGCCTCTGCGTAAATCTACCATCAGTGACTGAGCTTCAGGATAAAACGACACTTACTTGTATATGGGATAACTCCATGTCCGAATTCCGAAGATGTCGTATTTGCGAAACGGTTGTTCCTCGGCTCGATAATGGATGTTAGTATGATAGGGTGCGGTCACCATCGCTAACGGCGTGCGAGCACGACGCGATGTGAGCGGGTGGCGCCAATCCTCGATCTTCTGCAAATCAGTATATCGATCTTCCACCACGTCGTTTTTTGTGTTGTTCTAAAGTTTAGGGACATTTGTGCCAGATTTCTGCTGTGCGGTGCTCGACTTCTTGTCAGTGCACTCACCTGTGGTTTTAATCCAAGTGACCTTTCTATCTTTTGTTGGGCAGCACTTGATATTTAAACTACAGCTCCATAATATGTCGCATACTGTATTAAATTTTTAACAATATTTTAAAGAAATGTTTAAGGACGTCTATAAAAGTTTCCCTCTAAATTCTGAAAATCCTCGCCTCATTTGCAGTGTTCTCACTAAATCCAAAAACACTTCAAATAATCCCAGCCGTTCCAATCGCTCTTGGAATAATTATTACTTCGTTTTATCGATTTTTTGACAAAACCCTCAGCATTAGATTCGACTTGCAGTGCTTGAGCATTCTTTCTTTGGTAACTAGTATTGATTCTAATGGTTTCTGTTAAGTAGTCATAGGAACATTTGGGAAAACCCTTCAGAAAGCCGTCACCATGAGGATTTTAAACTGATCGATAACATCAATGATGGTGAGATATTTGCAAAACTCCAGACCCGCATGGTGTGGTGGTGAACGCGTTACTCCCCGGAAAGGACAACAGCGCGTTCGATCCCCACCGCATACATCTACGGTCCGCAGTTTTGCAGATATCTCAGCATCATTAAAGGCTATATTTCGCAATATAGCTTGCCATCAAAAAGAGTAGGCAGTAAATAAAACGGTTAAGATTGTGATCGATAACACTCTCAATAAAAAAAAGTTGCACTGGCCAGTGCACGAGCAGTTTTCTTAATGCTACAGGTCATATCCCGCCAACAGTTTGACGCCTTAACAGTGAGGTCATTATTGTCGGGAGCCATCCGATCTCCTCCCAGTAGTTTTTGGTCTTGGAGAGACCTCAACTTAATGATATTCGTCTCTGGAGTGACTCTTACGACGGTTCGTCGACGGTCATCCATGCAAGTCAGCTATTGTTTTCTAAAGCACAAAAAATAAACTAATATTGCTTTTTTGGAATTTTATCAAGTAAAAAATATTAAGAGAGAAAGCATTCCCTTTTGCATTCGTATGAAGATAATTGAATACATATTTGGTTTATACAATGACTTTCTACGATCAGCCGATGTATCACGGTATCAAATTGGCGGAAGGCGGGTGGCGCACTGGTAGTGATGCCAACCCAGCTCTGACCTCACAAAGCCTCTCATCTAGCTGGGGACGGGAGACCGTAGCCGGACTTGACCGGAAAATGTTCATTCTCTGCATCTAAGTGGGAACGCTTTAACCAGGCTACCTCAGGACTCCAGGAAAAAACGACTAGATCAGTTCTCAATGACATCCATGACAAAAGGAAAATCTTCAAGCAACTGTCCCACCCACACGCAAAAAATGAAAATTCGAAGATTTCCATGGATGACGGATGCGAATAAACGAGGCAAATGCACGAAATGCTGGGAGCCGCATCACTAGAGGTGAAAACAAATCGTGCAGAAGGAAATCAGTTTGGCGACCCTGAAAAACTTTGAGAAGAGTGCTTGGATAAGCCGAAGGTTGCGAACCGAACCAATAACTAAAGACGTGTTGCAAAATATTTCGCTGTACACGGCGGCAATTTTGCTGATTACATTGATGAGAAGGAGAAAGAGAAATCTTTTGGCAATCTCCTCAGGAATTCAGCAGTATGCAGCGTCAAAAGGCGAAACGTGAAGAATGAACGATTACAGGGCTTTCATCTTTTTAAGAAGAGGCAACGAAATGAATCTACGGTACTGAACGCAATAGCGTAAGGTTGAAACGATGCTGTTGAGCGTGAAGACAATGCAGTTATCTGGGAATATTTTCTATTATATGACATGCACGATATTAGGACCTGGCGGTGCCAGAAGACTCTCGGCAACATATCCACTCGTTGATTGAATGCTGGTGATAAGCGCTATATCTCGAGGGGGTTGATAGTTGTGAAATATAGTTAAGGTCTATACAAAAGTAAACCACAAAAAATAGGTCTAACATAGAGGATTTTTGAAATAAACCGCAATTGTTAGGCTCGATTTCAACCCAACTTCTAGTGGACGACGCATATACGAAGGTGAACTAAATAGTATTCATATAATAGAAAAGTCTTCGCAAGAATCATTATGGAAACACCTCCGGTTCACTTCCAATCAACAATAAGAGGAAAGCGACAACGCAGCATGAGCTTGAGAAAAATCATATGCTTGGGTTGATTGGCTGCTGAACGCTGTAATAAACACACGAAGGCTGTCCGGAACAATTAAACGGCTTGATAAATGCTTTTGTGGGGTCAACGGGAGTCTGATTAGGATAAAACGATGACCGGCCAACGCTCTGAGTACGACGAGTTTAGTATTTACGAGGAAACATTATTATTATAATCGGAAGGGTTTTCTAGCACTTTATTTTTATATTAAAACGCCCAGAGGCGCTGGTTTTGCAAGGGTTAGAGGTGCGCTACAATACACGTGTTACGTGTTAATACTGGCTCGACCCCACGCTCCAGCATTCACCATTCCTTCCATTGGTTTACATTGAATATTATCAAACAAATCTATGCTATCCGTATCGGCAGTAGTTCTGTTATTACTCTACGAGTCAGACAGGAATCGGCAAAGCTTGTTGCACCTTCGAGCGATCCACTAGGTTTCTCTGACGCACTACCACTCTTCATACTAAGCGTACTTTTCTCACTAGCTGCCTAGCCTCACTCGGCAGTGCAAAACTAGTTGGTCGCACGTATCAGCCATCTATCCGAAGTACAGGTGGTTCAAGGCGTCCAGTGTGCTTCATCTGTTAGGTATAGAAAACTTTTGCCGTAATCAACAAGTGCAGGAACAATTCACATTCCAGGAATCACCGATGTCAAAATTCAGGAACCACCCGATGTTCCACCTGGGATGTGCTGCGAAGCCTTGGAAGCACACGCGTTTACCTTCCTCACACGAATGAGATTACTAGAACAGAGAAAATAAGGCGGATAAACGGATGACAGGGAAGTAGCAGAGGGATGAAGAGAAGAGCGAATGTAAAGATGTAATTTTTGCTAATTTGATATTGTACCTTTAAATGTCTTTTACTTATGTATAAAAGAACAAAGCTCACTTCAGTGCTGGCAATTTCTCTCACGGGTGTGAAACTGCGTCTGACGTTGCTTGAGTATATCTGCTGACAGTCCACTGGTGTTTTTGCACGATTCCATTGTGAGAGGTAGCTTTCTCTAAACTTCATAGATAACACTGATTTTCGATCGATAGACAGAAGCCATACATTTGCACTGATGATGATTATGAATCGATTATTCAGAGCTGATTATCTGCAAGCTGTTTTTGCAGAACAAGGGAAAAAGTATGACGTGTTCTGGTGCTCTCTATCAACTATCAGGCGCGTAACACCATCATGGAAAGGGCGGGTATTTCTCAGAATATCCGTGATGATAAAGTGATTGGCCGTAGTTCTCGACTACTGAAAAGCCGTAAAGATGTTTTTAGTGTGATCGATAAAAGTACTTTGAACTATGTGGTTATTATGTGCAAAGAAAGTTGGAAAGCCGTTAACCTAAATATTATGGTCGTATAGTAGTCAACAGGTTATGAAGGGAAGGCGCTTGAAGAAAGCTGTGAAACTTTTCGCTAACTCTTACCAGTTCAGAAAACCTACTAAAACTCCGAGGTTTCCTATGTTCTAAGTGGGCAAGTAAAGTCCATAGTGTTGTCAACACTTATCGAGATGGTATTCGGACTTATCCACTTATTCAGATAAAGTAGTGAATTAAACTTTTCCAGTGTATTCACAGTAATAAGGAAAACTTCATTGCTGTAATGTCTTTCTCAAATCAGTCCAATGTCGATTTACATTAAGCCCAAAATGACGAAGCGGTTTGTTACTGAGTCAATTTAACAAAAGTTGTCATAAACTATGCGGTTAAGCACGTCACATGAGTAAGTGTTCAATGGAAACAGAGAGCACACCTTGAGAGAAAGCCGAGATCTACAGATTTACTGCGATAGATTCGAATCGAATCACGATAAGCCATTGAACTCTTCTGGAGTTCTTCTTCTGATAACCTGCAATAAATCTTCATTCCTTTAGGTGTCAATAGCTTTATACTTATTTTGGCACGAATTCATCTGTGCGTGGAACCCCCGAAGGAAATTAGGCACAATTAGAATCGCTTTATGTTTCCGTAAATGCAAATGCGTGCATTTCTCGACGCTATTCAAGGAACTTATTTCCTATCGATTTAAGACAATTTTGATTGTTCCCAGGATCGACTTTCTATTAACCTCGGCATTGGAATATGAATGCGTCGCTTTCTTGTTCAGCAATCGCGAGGTTTTTAAACAGCATACATTTACTTCCATAGAAAAACACAATACAATACAACACTAGCTGACTTTTCGGCAGTACCGATTTCTTCAGAGCCGCTTTTTCGTGACTTCCAATGAAGAAGTTTAAAACAGCTGATTATAGTCGCCGGTCGTCAACCATATGCGACTTGTATATCGGCAGTACCGATTTCTTCAGAGCCGCTTTTTCGTGACTTCCAATGAAGAAGTTTAAAACAGCTGATTATAGTCGCCGGTCGTCAACCATATGCGACTGTAATCAGCTGTTTTAAACTTCCTCATTGGAAGTCACGAAAAAGCGGCTCTGAAGAAATCGGTACTGCTGAAACGTCAGCCAGTGTTGTATTGTACTGTGTTTTTCTATGGAAGTAAATGTATGCTGTTTAAAAACCTCGCGATTGCTGAACAAGAAAACGACACACAATTTTGATTCTTCAGTTAAAGAAAAGTTGCCTATTACGTTTTTTTGTGTGTCTTACAGTACGAAATAATTCCACTTGATCTCTGGGTCTTTTTGTGGCTCGATTGGCTCCCTTCGATGATCCCGCAGCTGCAAGTGAAGTGCTCATGTGGCTTAAAAAAGTATTAAAAATAGTGGAAATTTGAAATCGTTGGTCAATTTCTGTTAATGATTTTCCGCCACACCGTGGTTGCGACGAGGTTCTTGGATGGAGCTGTCACTTAACAGCCAGAAGTTCATCTCCCGGAGAGGTCACACAACCTAAGAGGGCAGAATTTTCCTAATGTAATTCTTTAACTAGTAAAATTCTGCTATTACAGAGCATTGCCAAGCAGGAAAGCTAAGGAACCCTGGCCAGAATTTCTATAAAAAGAGATGATGGCGGAGTTTCAGTTGTTGCCTCCTCGAGTTATTCGACGTGAACCATTCATTTTGGTTATTTCTTCGATTTTTTCCCGTTCATAGAAAGCAAATTAGTTGACGAGATATATCGCTGACAGATGATGGCGCTTAAAAAGAGAAACTTGCTACAATATAAATAATGTTCTGACCTGTCCCATTTAATTGCCTCTGTGACCTTTGCTCATAATTTAGTCTCTGACGAAAAATTAAAGTACTAATTATGTTCTCAGAAAGAAAGATGACGGAGGGAAGTGAATATTTCTATTTTCCACCACTCATGTTGTTTTCGTCGCAACACAGCTCATAAAAGATCGATCGATGCACATCTTTTCAACGACTGCAGTGCGGATGCATGACGTTAGTACTTGGTTTCAGCACAAACAACAATACTTTAAATAATATTTGCTCTCAATCCAAAATTTTTGGAGTCTATGGTTAATAGTAATTGTATTTTGTCATTACTGTCTAGTTGTTTAACAAACCACTCGGTGATAGTTGAATGTCATCTTTTATGGTTTCCGTTTCACCTATAGGATAGCCGCTCTTCGTTTGGGGAACTACACGCGCAGGCTAAACAACACGGCTAGAGACCTCATTTGAAAGAGCTCACTAGAATTTATGCAAAGGGTTTTCTTTTCTTTGTGTTCTTTTTGCATTATAGCCCTGTCGAATTGTTCTTTGCTGGACTTATTATCAGTAGAACTTGGTTTTTTCTCCTTTTGGACCAAATACACCGATATTTTGTAATTTTTGCATTAGTTATTATTGGTTATATTAGTATTAGTGTTATTATTGATAAGCATTACTAAAGTAGTAAAGTAAAGTAAGGGCGCGTCTGGCGCAATGGTTGGGGGCGCCACTACGAGACATACGTGGAGTCGATCACCGCGCCCACGGCCCACCAAGCCCACGATACCTCCGGGGTCGGCAAATTGGTACCAGACTAGTCTGGTAGGATAACAGAACAGCACTGGGTAGATACATCGGTAGGCCACGGTGAGTCATTGTAAAGGCCAAATATGTATCATATCACATCAAACTTCAATCCGCTTCAAACGATGCTTAATGAAGTCGAATGCATGACACATCACTCAGGGATTGATCAACGCCGAGGGCTTTGTCCTTTATCTTTTTTATTACTAGAGTAATACTATCCGCTAAAGCAACAGAACACTGAGGACTCATTTTTCCTGTAGAACGTTAAAAAAAGTCAGAGCAAACGAGGATTTAAAAATAATGCAAAGTACGTTCCGAGCGAAAAGCTGCTGTAACAAAGCAAATGAAACACTCCATACAACCTTAATCTGCCCACAGTTTCAGAATGTTGATCACATCTAAAAATATTTTTACATCTTCAAATGTATTCAACATATACTAAAATATATATGTATAGAAAACGCGAGAAGGGAAAAATTTTTCTAAAACGAAAATTTGAACGTCCATCTAAATAAATGCTTCCCCATAGATCAAATTTTGCTGGGAACTTCAGCATTCATTGGGCCCGAAGATTTACGACGATTCTTTTGCTTCACAAGCATGTTTCTGGGCAGATTTTCTTGCTTATATCGTTCGTTCCACGAATCATCTAAACGCTGAGCTTCTCTTCAGCACTCTCTCATTCTTCCTCTGCAGCAGAATGGTCCGATAAACCACTGCCATTGTCAATCCGACGAATGGCATGACGTATGCAATGCCATCGCTGTGATACACATAGAAAACATGAAAAGAGAAAAATTTGTATAAAACGAAAATTTGGGGGTCTATGTGAATATATTCTACTTAGCAGTTAAAGTTGACAGCTCAAAGTTGTTATCATAACTATGGTTAAACTTTGTTTAACCATTCTTTTCTAAATCTTCAAAAATCAGACGACAAAATGCTGTCCCGTAAACATCTACTTTATCCCTTATGCTCGCCGTTGCACATTTTACTCCGTTTGAAAGGCCAGCGATTAAGAAATTATCCTCGACTTTCACTTACGTACATTTGTTATAAAAGAAAATGACAATGTGTAATACATAGTTTAAGGAGCATAGGCTTTTGCAAGCCTATTTGCTTCCAAGATATCCTGAAAAAATCGATATTAATTAAAATAACTTCATTAGTTTTCGATGTAGGCTAAAAAGATATCCTCATTTGTTTGCCTTCTTCCCCATGGTACTGTAATGACCGAAGTTAGCGCGATAAAAGTCAAATTATGATTAATTACCTAATTTTTGGTTCGTTTAAGTATCACACTTAAATTTTGATATTATTGCCAATGAAAGTCGACAACAGCCATCGATTAACCGGAAGATAGGGGATTGATCCATATCCCTGTTAAATTGGTAACCGAGTTTCTCTTTTGACTTCTGTCACGTTGTGACGTTTGAACGGTGTTTTCACTTTAATTGGAGTTGTCTTCAAGATAAAAAAACAATGCAATTGTTAACCAAGTTTTCTTAGTGAACACTTGAAACTCGAATGCTCGTACCTCAAACAATACGGCTTGTTGTCGTTGGTCTTAAGCTGGTGGTTGACGAGTTGCTGCCAGGTTTTGTTTTCTGACGAGTCCAAGAGCGATTTTGCCGCTTGTAGCGTTGATTCCCTTTATCATACAAAGTATAAGTATCGATCGTATTAGAGAATATGTGACTATGATAATAACGGATTAATACAATGCGAGCACCGTTACCAGATAGGATTAAAAATTTTTCTAATCTTCATAAAGATTGGGGATATTACTAGGTTTTTTCCGGCTCTTAATTTAACACTTTTCCTTGCCAGGTAGATTTCAAATTGAAAAATGCGACGCTAAAAAATATTGGACCTAACACTATTATTTATCTGATTAAGAAGCGTTTTTCGAAGTGCTCCGTTTTGTTTCGTTGAGTAGCTCGAAAGCCTTTTTTTAACCGAAGCATAGTTGGGATCTGTGCAGTCGATAGTCCACGCCATAAGAATAAAAATCAGAATACGTTACAATAGTCTGAAAGGGAACCGAACTGAGCACGTTATTTTATCCTTCTAGATGAACGAGTGCTACCTTGAACAATGTAACAACTGGAGGTTTCACCAGTACTACCAACACAAAGGGTGCGTGAAAGACAGCAGTCAGAGATTTACCTGCAATACACACAGGAGCGTCAGTTCAATCTTAGGCTCTGGGCTAGCCGC